GGCGGCGGCGCGTGCGTCGCGCGCGAAGCCCAAGGCGAAGCCCACGCGAGCCCCAAGGCGAAGGAGTCGCCAAAGGCGCGCATGTTTGCGAACGTCCGGGACGCCGCAGTGCCGGTCGCAGTGCCGAGCGGCGGTCTCCCGGCTCTGCGGGCCACCACGCGGGCGCGCCTCTGGACCTTCCCGGCGCTCGGGCACCGCTTCGGCCCGCCCGAGCAGGTCTGCGCAAGGGCCTGGCCGCCGCGCGTCGGCAGCGGGTCAGCGCTGGTCGACGAGCAGCTGTGGGAGGGGGCGCATGCCGCGGGCTGGCGCCTCCGTGAGAGGTGGTACCCCCCCTCCCTCGAGGCAGCGAGGGTGCTCGTCAGCCCGGCCGGCGAGCCCTTCCGCACGGCTGCCGCTGCGGCCGAGGCCGGCCGCGTGGAGGTCGAGACGGTGGCGGAGGAGGCGGAGGCGGCTGGCGAGGCGGAGGGCGAGGAGGAGGAGGAGGAGGAGGAGGCGGAGGCGGCTGGCTCAGCGGACAGCTCTACCGCCTCGCCGCAACAGACGCCGCTTCCGCCGCACAGGGAGGCTGCACCCGCCGCGCCGCTCGTGACAGAGGCGGAGGGGCTGCGCTTGCACCTCTCCAGCAGCAGCAGTACCGGGTACAGAGGCGTGTGGGAGCAGTACCCTGGAACCTTCGTGGCGCGGCACACGGTGGACGGGAGGCTCTGCCGCCTCGGCAGCTTCGACACGGCGGTGGAGGCGGCGGTGGCGTACGCGAAGGCGGCTGGCGAGGCGGAGGGCGAGGAGGAGGAGGAGGAGGCGGAGGCGGAGGCCGCGGGCTCAGCGGACAACACTACCGCCTCGCCGCCGCCTCCGCCGCCTCCGCCGCACAGGGAGGCTGCACTCGCCGCGCCGCTCGTGACAGAGGCGGAGGGGCTGCGCTTGCACCTCTCGAGCAGCAGCAGCACCGGGTACAAGGGCGTGTGGGAGGGAGGGAGGTACTCCTGCCGCTTTTGCGGCGCTGGCAAGCTGCAGCCTGCCTCCAAGTGCCCCTGCTACGGAGGCCGTTCGCTCGCGGCGGAGGAGGAAGGGGAGGCGGAGGCGGAGCCGGGGGAGGCTGTCGGGGGCCTGCAACTCCACCGGTCCAGCCGCAGCAGGACCGGTTTCAAGGGCGTGATCTGGCAAGACGGCATGGCAAAACGGCCATTCACTGCGCAGCGCTATGAGGGCAAAAGAGCCACCTACCTCGGCTCGTTCGGCACAGCGGTGGAGGCGGCGGTGGCGTACGCGCGCGCGGAGGCGGAGGCGGAGGCGGAGGCGGAGGCGGAGGCGGAGGCGGAGGCGGAGGCGGAGGCGGAGGCGGAGGCGGAGGACCCTTCCCTCCGCTGCGAGGAGGCGCCGGCGGAGCGCCGTTGCAGCAACGTGCTCGACTCCCAGGGCGGCGCGTTTGGGTGCCTGCTGCCCGCGGGCCACGCAGGCGCGCACGAGTTCGCGCAGCCGGCCAAGCGCGCGCGGAAGAGCTCGTGGAAGGCGGCGGAGGGGAGGCGGTCGGAGCCAAAGGGGCAGGGCGGCGTCTCGCGGAACGGGCCGGCGTGGACGGAGCAGGAGGGCGCGCAGCTCATGCAGCTGGTGAGCGTGCACGGCCGCAAGTGGAAGGTCATCGCCGAGTCGATACCCAACCGGACGCACGACGCGCTGAAAAACCGGTACGAGCGGCTTCTCAAGCTGACCGAGAACGGCGGCTCGCGGGCAAACGGGCACGCGGCGAGCGAGTCTGCGGACGGGAAGCAGCACATCCCGCCGGGGGCGATCTTCGTGCCCGCGTCGGCGGATGACATGAACCTGTGAGCTCGGCGAGATGCTCAACGTTCGGGTGTGGGCGTGGACTTTCCTAGCTTGTAGGAGAGTGAGCTTGCTCTCGATCGAGCATTAGATAGCATCTCATCTCACGAGGTCGGCCCACAAAGCCAATCGAGGACCCAAAAGAATCTTAAAAAATACAAGCCTCTCTCAGTACTCTCACAGGGGTGCGGACTGGTGCGGACAGTGGCCTGGCGAGCGTAGAGGCCCCGCCCACCCAGGGTACCCCTCTCGAGGGACCCATTGGGTCTCGCCGGGGCTCTGCTCCAAGAGACCTCGAGAGAGCGTGCGTGTGCCTCTACTCGCCAGGAGCGGACCGGCTTACGGGTACCAAAAGAATTCAACGACCGAAAGAAGAATTTAAACAAAACAACTCTCTCTCACAGCAGACAGGCTCGACACAGGTGCGAACTGGCGCGTGCTAGAAAGAAGAACACCAACTGGCTCCCGACGGCTGCGCGCCGCCCCATCGCTGCTTCAGTAGCGGACCTAGGGATCCTAACCTGCCTCTAGCATCTCTATAAGGGATCCCTAGTCGCTAGTGCCGTATCCCCATGAGTTCAGTCGCGAAGCCCGCTGTTGTGTCTACACAGCGAGACACGATCGCGACGCTCGATTCGTTCCTTCGCTGGCACCTCCACGGCGCTGGCTTCAGCCACGTCTACCTCTACTTTGACGCGCCGGAGACCGAGCCGGACGCGCTTGCGCTCGCACGCGACGAGCGGTGGGGCGGCCGCGTCACCGTTTTTGCTGCTGACGCTGCCTTCCGCCAGCGAGAGGGCTACTCAGCTCTGCCGTCCTTTGACGAGCTCGCACCGAGCGTGGAGACGCACGTGCAGTCGCGTCAGCGGCTCAACTGCGAGCACTGCCTGCGGGCGTGCGCCTCTGCGGGCGTGGACTGGCTGCTGCACGTCGACAGCGACGAGCTGTTTGTGCCGGCGGCGGGGGAGCGCGCGCCGGCTCACTTTGGCCGTTTATCTGCCCGCGGCTGCTGGCAGTTCACCTACCGCAACCTCGAGGCGGTGCCGACCGCTGCGGCGGCGGAGGGCGGCGACTGCTTTGCGCTCGTCGACCACTTCAAGCAGCACGAGGGCTCGCTGCCGGCGGCCGCGCTGGACGGGACGAGCGGCGCGGCGAAGGCGGCGCTGCAGCACTGGCTCGACCGGTCAGTGGCTCGGCTGGGCCGGCCTGCCTGGTACCTCTTCTACTCGAACGGCAAGTCGGCCGTGCGAGTCTCGTCGGCGGGACAGTGCAGCGGCGTGCACGGGTGGGCGAGCGGCGGCGCGGAGGAGTCCACACACCGTGCTGGCGGGGGGTGGCTGACGAACCTGCTGAGGCGGCCGCCGCAGCCCTCCTCCTCGCGCCTCCTCGTCGAGGAAGAGGGGGCCGTGGTGCTGCACTACGCCTGCTGCACGCGAGTGGGCTTCGCGTCCAAGGACTGGCGCGCGCTCGGCTACCTCGACGGCGTGGGAACCTCGTGGGCACGCCGGTGGCAGCGGATGCGCGACAAGGAGGAGAGGACGGGGAGGCTGGGCGAGGGCAGCTTGGGCGAGGGCAGCTTGGGCGAGGGAAGCCTGGGCGAGGAGCACCGCGCTCTGGTCGGTCTCGCTGACTCGGAGCTGCTCGAGCGCCACGTCGAGGCGGGCGTGCTCGTAAAGGACAGCCGGGTGCGGCGGTTCCTGCGCGGCGACGCTTCTTCGCGAGACCCGACCCCGTGCGGCGAGGGCGGCGGCGAGGGCTGCGGCAGTGGCGGAGGCGGAGGTGGAGACGGCAGCGACAGCAGCGACGACGGCAGCGACAGCAGCGACGGCGAGTCGGCCCGGCTGCGAGAGGAGGCGCACGCGCGGGGCGAGGAGGAGGAGGAGGAGGAGGAGGAGAGGAGGAGGAGAGGAGCCTCTTCCGTGAGCCCTTCCCGCACCCTTCCTGCAGGCACACGCAAGGCGCGAGCTGCGGCGGCTCCGCTGGTCCGAGGCGGGCAGCTGTTCCTAGACACTTCGCAGACACTTCGCAGACACTTCGCAGACACCTCGCAGACACCTCGCAGACACTTCCTAGACACCCCCGCTGGTCCGAGGCGGGCAGCTGTCCTTCCCTCGGATAGATGCGACCTCGTCTCGGAAGCTTGCTCGCGCCTCACCCGCAGGCGGGCCGCCGTCTCGCGTCGGAGGGCTACTGTGTCATCGACGGCTTCCTGGGCGCAGAGGCGGCCGCCAAACTCGAGGGGGGGGGGGGGGGCATGGTTGGACGAGGGGGTGGACCAAGGGGGGAGGGGGGGCGGAGGGGGGAGAGACCGCACCCAGCTTGTTCTTCAGCACTTTGAGCGCACGCTTCTCCTTGCCAACCTTCAGCAGCTCCATGGTGCGCTTCTCGTACGGCGCGTAGCCCGCAACCTCGCGCACGATCTCGCGCACAAACGCAACGCGCTTGTTCAGCTTCTGCGGGGGGCGGAGAAGGGCGCGGCGTCGGCGGCCGGTGTGCGGCGCTCTCACGCGCAATGGCGGCGCCGCGGTGCGGCAGCGGTGTGGCCCATGTCGGGAACGCTTGGGCGCCGCCCCCCGTCGTCACGTCCCGCCCTCGCGGGCGCGGCGAGAGGGGCACGGCGCCGACGGGGCGACGCGGGGCAAGGTAGGTCGCACCCCCTTGCGGTACGACGGCTTGGGCTTGAGATCCCGCGAGGTGAGCACGTGGCCCTTGTCCATACCCACAGCCAGGCCCGTCTTCCGCTCACCCTTCGGGTGGCCCGTGAAGCCTGTCAACCGAACCGTGGACATGTCGAGGCGAGTGGCGAGCGGGCGGACAGCGCTTGATTTCTTTTCTCCGTCAGGACTCTCAAGTTCTGTAGGACTCTCAAGTTTCTGTCAGGACTCTCAAGTTTGCTTGTCAGGACTCTCAAGTTTGCGTCAGGACTGCCCCATCAGGACGATTCCGCAGAGGGCGCGCACGGGTCGAAAGGGGGGCTGGGCGTCTATCATTCACTGCTGGTGGGGAGGGGAAGGAGGGTTGCAGTGAAGGAAGGTGGAAGTCTCGTCGGAGGCACTTGTGAGCACTGTGAAGACCGTGCGCCGTCAGGACCCCGCCAGGACTCTGTCAGGACTCTGTCAGGACTCTGTCAGGACTCTGTCAGGACTCTGTCAGGACTCTGTCATCGGCCTTGGTGAGCAGTTTGGCCTTTACACCAATATTCGAATATCTTTGAGAATATAGAGGGTCCCGCGCACTTCCATATTCGAGAATATTCTCGAGAATATAGATGCCCCGGCCGGCTTTTCCCTCAAGAATATACGAGCTTTCCGCAGCCCTTGACCTTGGTGGACCTCGAGTCCAAAGTTATTCTTGAATATTCTTGACGTTGCCGCTGTGCGGCGTCTAAAACGGTCTTGACGAGAGAGCTCGAAACAGCTATTCCCCCCTCAACAGTAGGTTTCGGGTCGATGCCGACTGAAATCTTTAAGTTTTGGAGGTTCTGAGCGGGTTTGGGAGCGACTTTTGGTCTCCGTCGATATACGCGAGGTCAAAATATTCTCAATATTCGAGAATATTCTTGAGAATATAGAGGGCCCAGAGAGAATATGATGCAAAGAATGTAGATAGCCTTTGCAGAGAAAAGCGTGTAAAGGCTAATGAGCAGTCACATCCGTGCTCCCCGCCATCTCCATCGCCTGGGTCTGCGAATGCTTATCAGCCACGAAAGGAGAGCGTGGCCGAGGGCTGCATAGACTCGATCGCAAGATCCCAGAAAGGCACCTCCGCCTCTGGACAGGGTGGCCCGCACTAATCGACCCCTGTTAAGTGACTCGTTCGCTAACCACCCACTGTGATTTTGTGTGAGCTCTGTGTCTTGCTTCGCCAACAACATACCTACACACTCACGGTGTTGTGTGAGTGACACACACACACACACACACACACACACACACACACACACACACTCACGGTGTTGTGCAATGAGTTTTTGTACTGTTATATGATTCATAGTAAAGCAACAAACTCTCCGTGGCGCTTCCCACCCTTCGGGTCGCGCTCGAGCGGGGCATGCCAGTCGATTTCTTCGGCGACTACCTTTACCACAAGGCCCACCACCGGCGGCCCCACGACGGCGTCCTCGCCGCCTGGGCGGACGCGATGCGCGCCCCGGCCAACGCGCCGGTCGTGCACGGTGACAAGGAGAAACCAGAGCTCACCCGGCAGTACAACGAGGGGTACAAGGTCGACCTCGCGGAACCCCACGCTGGCCCGGGAGGATGCGATGATGCAATTAATTTCCTGCGGCCAGGTTGCTACTCCGAGACGTCGGATAAGCACCAACGGCCAATGCACGAGGGGGTGTCGGTGGAGACTTGTTCACACCGGTATGCCTTGCCCTTTTGGTGCTTCTAAGTAGATGGCTATGCTCTTAGTAGACTGTGGATGTGTTCACAGTCATGTGTGGAATTTCGGCGTCCGCCGAAATTCCTTTGTCCGCGGCGTCTTTTAGGCCGACGGACTTTTAGAGTCTTGTACAGCAGTGGCGGTCCGCTCACTGCGGTTTCTCTTGCTGCCGGCTGTCCACCGTTATCTTTAAATTCTTTCTGGCGCGTGTTGAGGCGGCGCTGCAGTAGCACCCCTAGTCTGAAAACAAAAAGAAGCTCGATAGGGCATAACATAAACAACAGGTAGCGGTGGTAGTGCTGCTTCATTCGCTGTGGTACTACCTCTCCCATACCGCCTTTCACAAGGTGCCGGGCCTCTTCTTCGTGCACAAGTTCCACCGTTGGTTCAGGGGCAAGTCAGTCTCGCCATCTACCGCCCTCGCCGTGTCGCCGCTCGAGTTCATCTTCGCGTTTGGCCCCGGGCTGGTTCTGCTCAAGCCCTCGCGGGCCACCCTGCAGGCGTCATTGGTTGTCGTGATGGGCCACAACCTCCTGATGCACTTTCCGCCTGTGGAGGAGGCGTCCCGGTGGCTGCCTCGCGTCCTTGTCCGCACGGCGGACCACCTCTCGCACCACAAGCACCCAGGGGACAAGCTTTCGGGCCACACGCTGTCGTACGACTACATTGGCGAGCTCCTGCAGCTGAAAAGACTCCTTCCCAACCGGGTCGGTGGCCCTTTCTCGTGCGCTAATGCGGACTGCATCGTCAGCGGTGCTTGCCGACAGCCAAGGCGCAGCCTGTGACTGGCGATTTCAACCACCTGCGGTGGGCCATTTTTTCGCGCATCGCACGGCACATGAGCTTGGGCTTCGCATGTGCGATCACCCGAGTTCTCTCCTGTCTCGGCCTGTCGAGCTCAACTATTGAGCATGCTTTCCAGGAGTACCGCTAGACTATGTTCGCAGATTGTGCAGGTGTCTGTTCAGATGTAGGTAATGTACGTTGTATGTTTAGAGAGAGAGAGAGAGAGAGAGAGAGAGAGAGAGAGAGAGAGAGAGAGGTTATTAGCAATACTAACTATACCCGATACCAAACAACTCTATGTTCAGAGGTGGCATATTACTATAAACATTCTTGCATTTTTGCTCCCGGCTAAGGGAGCAAGCAAGCCCACTCAACCCCAAGTACTCACCATTCTTACAGTGGTGTAGCTTGTGCAGAGGCTGCAGCCTCTGCTGGGGCGGAATGCGCGGGGTTTTCGGCGCGATGCCCTCGGCGAGTACACGCTACTGCTGTGCCGCACGCTCTCCTGCGCGCGCGTGACGTGTGGGACGCGTGCGCTGCGCTCAAACGTCGCGATTTGGCGATAGGCGCTCGAGCCGGCGCACAGCGGGCGGGTGCGCCGCGCAGGGGGGGTCGGAGGGGTGCGAGAGGGGGCGTGGGTCGGGCGCGCACCGGCCGGCTCCGGGAGCGGCCGTCACGTCGAGGAGGGGGGCTGTCGGCGGCTCGAGCGCCGAGGCGTGCCACTCTGCTTCGCCGCCGACAGCCCCTCTTCCGAGCCGGCGCGTGGCGACGAGCCGCGGCCAGTGTCGCTGGTTCCTTTGGCGGCGCAGCGTGTATCCCCCC